ATGCCCTGCAGGCATGGACTGCCTTTTTCATGTTTGAGTATCCCAAACACCTCGTTTCGTGCCTAGTCCAAACAGGAGCTTAATACACTTTTGTTGAATGGGATTACTTATGAAGAGTTTTTATGACTCATTTAAAATTAGAGACCAATGCTTATTTAATAAGTCGAAAAGGCTATGATAATAATAGTAATAACAAAGTCCCATTTCCACTGCTTATTCAAGTAACTGCTTCCTTTGTGGAAGTGGATTTTTTAAAATCTTCACATATAAGTGTATATTTTTTTATGTATTTTCTTGGCATCCTAAAAGAATGATGGTTCTAATGCAGATTAGAGCTTTTATGACATTCCTATTGATGTTATATTGAACAGATTCTGTAATTTCACAGATCTGTATTATAGATTATATATAAGTTCCATGGATGTGGGTTTTATCTCTTTCTTTCAAATTTCATGGTAATATTTTGTGGGTTATTTGTTTTATTTTTTGGGGGGGGGTTATTTGTTTTATAACATGAGTTAATTTAATTCAAAACATATTAAATTGAGCATTTCCCACATACAAAAACAGAGTTACAGAGTTAAAAATCTAGTACTTAGATATTATGTAGTTTGGCCAAATTTGTAAAGTCCCAGTGTTTCCAAAGGCATTTTTTTAGGTATTTAAATTATCTTAGCCATGAAAGTAAATACTTTTATGGAGAGCTTCAAATACAAAATAAATACTTTCAAATAATTTTTTTAAAAAATCATCTTCCTGCCCCCATTTTCTCTGAGTTTTGTAGGAAAGATGTCAACAATTTACTTGTTCAGATATTTATTGAGTATATATTATTGTGCTAGATATTAATGCTGAGTGTTTGCAATTCAGAATTAATGAGACAGCACCTGCCTTAAGTAGTTCACAGTCTAGTAGAGAAGAAAGTATAAAGACAAATAATTGCAATTTAAACCTTGGAGAAGAGGAAACTCCTCCTCTGAGAACAGTTGCTGAAGTTGGGAATGGAGATGTCTGCAGATAAATCTGTAGATAAAGAAGCAGGGATGCAAAGAGAGTCTGGATATGTAATTAAGGTTACTAATAACCTTGTCAAAAGATAGGGAGATTAACCTGAATTATCTGGGTGGGCCTAACATAATCACAGAAGGTAGCTTAAAGCAGAAGAGGAAGGCAGAAGAGAGAAATGTGTCAGAAAAAGAAACTCAAGAGATCTGAAGCGTAAGAGAAACTCAGTCACTTACTGGAGGGAGACCACATGGAAAGTATCAAAAGAAAATAGGCAGCGTCTGGGAGAAAAGATGAACCCCCAGCTCACACCCTGCAAAGAAACAGGAATCGCAGTCTTACAGTCCCAAGAAAATGGATTCTGTCAACATCCTGCATATACTTGGAAACTGATTCTACCCAAAACCCCACTGACTCACACCTTGATTTCAGTCTTATGAAAAATTGATCTTAGCTACCCAAACCCACTCAAACTTCTGACTTAAAGAACTGTTAGATAATAAATTTGCAGTGTTAAAAAAAAAAAGAGGAAGCAGGGAGCTAAGCAGAATTCATACTTGATAGGTTTTTTTTTTTTAATATGCAAAGTAGAAATCTAAATCATCTCTGGGAATTAATGACGTGGGTAGCACTTGAGAAGAGAGCAGTGACCATCTGGGTAATTCCTAAGGAGAAGGGGAGATGAACAGAAGCGAGTGAGGGGTGGCATGCAGTACTGAGGAAGCAGGGAGAGTAGAGCTGAGATCAGATAGCACGAAGCTCTTAGGACATCAGTCAGCACAGTGGTGTGATTTTCTCCGGTCTTGCTCTGTGGCCAATGTTTAGGTGCAGTAAAGTCATATTGTGTTCAGGGCTCCTGGGGTAGGTATAACAGAAATACAAGAATGCCGAGGAGGCAAGAGTCCTTGAAAGAGTGTATGGCTTAACTGGAAGGAAGTGTGGTTAGGAGGAAGTTGAGAAACTTGGAGAAGGTTAAGAGACTGGAGTTGGGGCTAAGGTTTGGTACTTTGTAGGTGTTAAGCATGTCTTCATTTTCTCCTTTCTGGCTCTTCTCCCCCTGTGCCTGTTTCATTCCCACCACCTCCACTTTCCTCTGCTATGGTTTCTTACAAACAGTTTTAAGTCAAACAGTAGCGGTTGGCTTGGAGTGGAAGATTATGAGCCAGTTTCCAGAGTTCCCAAAGAAAGACAATGCCAAAGAATGCTCAAACTACCACACAGTTGCACTCATCTCACACGCTAGTAAAGTAATGCTCAAAATTCTCCAAGCCAGGCTTCAACAGTATGTGACCCGTGAACTTCCAGATGTTCAACCTGGATTTAGAAAAGGCAGAGGAACCAGAGATCAGATTGCCAACATCTATTGGATTATTGAAAAAGCAAGAGAGTTCCAGAAAAACATCTATTTCTGCTTTATTGACTATGCCAAAGCCTTTGACTGGATCACCACAAACTGTGGGAAATTCTGAAAGAGATGGGAATACCAGACCACCTGACCTGCCTCCTGAGAAATCGGTATGCAGGTCAGGAAGCAACAGTTAGAACTGGACATGGAACAACAGACTGGTTCCAAATAGGGAAAGGAGTACATCAAGCTGTATATTGTCACCCTGCTTATTTAACTTATATGCAGAGTACATCATGAGAAACACTGGGCTGGATGAAGCACAAGCTGGAATCAAGATTGTTGGCAGAAATGTCAATAACCTCAGATATGCAGATGTCACCACCCTTATGGCAGAAAGCAAAGAACTACAGAGCCTCTTGATGAAAGTGAATGGGGAGAGTGAAAAAGTTGGCTTAAAGCTCAACGTTCAGAAAACTAAGATCATGGCACCTGGTCCTATCAACTTTATGGAAAATAGATGGGAAAACAGTGGAACCAATGATAGACTTTATTTTTGGGGGCTCCAAAATCACTGCAGATGGTGACTGCAGCCATGAAATTAAAAGATGCTTGCTCCTTGGAAGAAAAGTTATGACCAACCTAGACAGCTTATTAAAAAGCAGAGACATTACTTTGCCAGCAAAGGTCAGCCTAGTCAAGGCTCTGATTTTTCCAGTAGTCATGTATGGATGTGAGAGTTGGACTGTAAAGAAAGCTGAGCACCTGGGGGAAAGAAAAAGCTGAAGAATTGATGCTTTTGAACTGTGGTGTTGGAGAAGACTCTTGAGGATCCCTTGAACTGCAAGGAGATCCAACCAGTCCATCCTAAAGGAAATCAGTCCTGAATATTCATTGGAAGGACTGATGCTGAAGCTGAAACTCCAATAATTTGACCACCTGATGTGAAGAACTGACTCATTTGAAAAGTCCCTGATGCTGGGAAAGATTGAAGGTGGGAGAAGGGGACAACAGAGGATGAGATGGTTGGATGGCAACACCGACTCAGTGGACGTGAGTTTGAGTAAATTCTGGGAGTTGGTGATGGACAGGGAGGCCTGGCATGCTGCAGTCCATGGGGTCGCAAAGAGTTAGACATGACTGAGTGACTGGACTGAACTGAACTTCCAGAGTTCACTTCAGATGTGTCCCAGTAGATTGGATCCTGAAGGTGCCTGGTGGTGCTGGCCTCTAAGAGAAGCTCAAGGTTTATCCCCTTATCTTCTTACCCCTTATGCCCCCAAGGGTGGGACAAGGGCAAAGACATTTTATAGGCTATAGTTCTTGGAACATGAACTTATTCTTGATGAGAAGGTTAAGAATCTAAGCCTTCATAAGTTTCCACCAAGTTCCCCTTGTCTCTACAAGTCTAACCATAAGCATAGATCTCATCACTTTCAAGGATTTAAAAGGGAGTCTCTTTTTGAAATAAAGATAATGGCCATACAGGCAACACCAAGTATCTTCCTCCTTAGAATCTAAAATTTCTAGTTAGAGTTGGTTGAATCTTGTGGTTTTCTTTATGTGAGTCATTAAATGTATTGTCATAATTTTCTTAAAGATATAATTTTTTAAAGTTTCATTCCAAATGAGGACATTTTCCATAAAAACTTACTATATTCCATTTCCAGAAAATTTCCTGTTTACCTGTAGTTTTGAGTGTAACACTTGAAATCTAAGAATTTATTATTTCACAGAGTGCTTTTTTGGTGTAGTATAAAGAAACTCATAAGAAATGAGTCAAGTATCTTAAGTGTGAAACTGCAAGATAGGTGAGAATTCCTAGAGTGAGTAAACAGAAACCAAAGGTCCTTTTAATCTTCAGAAATGGAGTAAATGCTTGCATAGAGTGAGCGCAAGAAATCCTAGGGAGTCTTAAGTCATTCAGTCTTGCTATTTTTTGTTGTTAATGATACCTTTAAGACATTTAGCAATGGTTGCCTCGAAAAGAATTGAATACTGTTCTTTGGAAGCTTCATTTTCTTCTTGGTGGCTCTGAGAAAGCAGGTTTCTCACTTGGCATAGTCCTGTGAAATAGGGCATTCAGCTTTATGCACAAAGTCTGTAACATCCATCTGGATCCTGTGGATTGCTTAGTCCCCACCCAACTCAGACATGTCTGCCCTTTCTTCCAGTACTTGTATTGACAGGTAGACCTGTAATTTCTATGACTAAGATATAGTTTCCATAGCTATTGTATCATAATAGATTTGTGTTGAGTTGTTTCCCTGAAAACAGATCTCTCTTTTCCCCTGCTAGCTTTAAAGTAAAGGATAATGAAAAAGAAGTAATAGTTCCTATTTAGGTATTTAAGTCAAAGAGACATTTTCACAGTTAAAAGTATTTGTTCTAAACTAAATCATAGTTCAAATATACTTTTCCAAAGACCTTTAATTGGCAGCTTTCCCCCTCAACTATTGGTACTGGTGTAGGAATTGGTTGTGGAATATTCTATTTTAAAAAGAGCTTCAGTTCATTCTTGTTCTGTTTATAGCACCTGGATATTAATATATGTTAATGCGATTGCTGTATTTTTCCTAACATGCATATGAAGAAAGGAAATTTTGATGTCTTACTTAGTTGATGTAAGACTGTTCTCTTTTCCTTTTAGGCTGCAAACATGTTAAAGGCATCCTGTTATATGGGCCTCCAGGTTGCGGTAAGACACTGTTGGCTCGACAGATTGGCAAGATGTTGAATGCAAGAGAGCCTAAAGTGGTCAACGGGCCGGAAATTCTCAACAAATATGTGGGAGAGTCAGAGGCTAACATTCGTAAACTCTTTGCTGATGCTGAAGAGGAGCAAAGGAGGGTAATGCTAATATAATTTAGTAAAAGTTTGTTGTCATTTATATGACGACTGAAACCCAAAGTTCTGGTGGAAAATGTGCTGCCATAATTTATAGTTTGAAGAAATTGCAAGTAAAATTTATTTAGAACTGTGTTATGTCACTGAACTGGGATTATGGGAGATTTACATGTTGTGAGCAGATGTCAGTATCCACATATTCAGAATACAAAGATGGATGGTGATATAAGCCAAAAGTTTTATTAAAATGTATCATGAATATCTTTTTAAGTGACACTTTTCTTCCACATTGCTTCTAGAGTCTTGAACTCATTTATCATAAAAGAGAGAAGTTAAGTCTATAAAGAGATTTATAGAATTATGTATGTGTAAGGTTCATGTGCAGAAAGCTAGTTTAGTTACCACTGACCCAACCCAGCTGTAGAGTGACTGGTATAAGCTGTTAGAAAAGGAAAATTTGATTCACAAACGTGAATTTGTGATTTGATTTCACAAAGGAAAATTTGATTTGGGTCTTAGAAAAATAAAATAAAATTAACTAAAAATCAAACCAGAGTTTACTAATTGGGATGGCTAATTTTGTGTTAGTTTTCTGGGCCCTAGGGTGCCAGACATCAGTTAAACATTGTTTTGGCTGGGTTGTGTTTACCGTTTGAATTTGTAGACTGAGTAAAGCAGTTGTCCTTGCTAATATGCCATCAGTTGAAGACCTGAAAAGAACAAAAAGGCTTATCCTCACTTAAGTAAGAGGGAATTTCCTTCTGCCTGACTGCCCTGTGCTGGGACATCAGTTTTTTTCTGCCTTCAGACTCAAACTGAAACGCCCACTCTTCCTGGCTCTTGAGCTTGCAGGCCTTTGGATGAGAGGGCCACACCGTTGGCTCTCTTGTGTCTCCAGCTCACCCAGGACAGATAGGAAGACTTGTCAGTTCCCATGATTCTGTTAACAGGTTCCTTATAATTAATCTCTAGATAGGTAAAAAGATCTCAATCTAGGTCTAGAATAAATATGTTTTTTAAAGTACCAGTAGAATAGGTAGAACACGTCTCTAGATCTATTGATTCTGTTTCTCTGGAAAACCTTGACTAATATGCTAGTATTTGCATATTTGTTTCATTAAAGAAAAGTTTAAAAACAATGTCATGAGATTTCTGGTTCTGGAAATACAGTAGACTAGGAAGCATGAAAACACAAAAATCTTCAAATGCTGGGTAAAATATTTTCAGAAGAACAATTGAGTTCTCAGGATAGAAATGTCTTCAGAAATTAAAAGAAAACTGAAAATTAAAGTGCTAAAGATAATGAGCTTCCTTTTTTGGTTCTGGTAATGTGTGCCTTTGGGTTTTAGCATCCACTAACTGACTCACTGGAAAAGTCCCTGACGCTGGAAAATATCGAAGGCAGAAGATGAGGGTGTCAGAGGATGAAATGGTTGGATGGCATCACTGGTGCATTGGACATGAACTTGGGCAAACTTTGGGAGATGGTGAAGGACAGTGAGGCCTGACATGCTGCAGTTCATGGGTTGCGAAGAGTTAGACATGAATGGGAGACTGAACAACAAGGGGGCATAAAATGAGCCCTTGAACTTACTTAAGATGTGAACTAGGAACTGGAACCTCCAAAGTGACTGTATCATCAGTGAAGAAAAATAACTAGAAATTATTTCCCTGCCAACACAGAGAAATGACAGAATTGTTCAACTCTTTGCCTGGGTTCTAGAGTGGAAATTAAGGAATCTCACATGGCAATTCTAAACCATGGGTCTTTGGCTCATGCTTAGGAGTTGGGGGGGGGGGGGAAGACACACACATGCACGCTACCAATGTACTTTGAGGTCCCCAAATTAGGAAGTTAATTTTAAAATGAATCCTGGATTAATGATTCCACATAGAGTTGTTAGATAAAAGAACACCCCAAAGGGTCCTCCACTAAACCCAGGCCACAGGAGCTTCTCACAGGGGAAGCTAAAATATCTCCAATAAATAGAAACATCATCATCAAAATTTAAAACTCAGCAATTAGGTTCAGCATAAACAGTAGCTTCAGCTGAAAAGAGAAGTGATAAACAGAAGAATGAAGTGAAGTGAAGTCGTTTAGTCGTGTCCGACTCTTTGCAACCCCATGGACTGTAGCCTACCATGCTTCTCCATCCATGGGATTTTCCAGGCAAGAGTACTGGAGAGGGTCGCCATTTTATCACCCAGAATGTGGCACAGAGAGATACAGAGATGGGAAGTATGAAAGAGAAATTGAGATAACAGAATTAAAATAAGAAACCCAAATTCAATAGTATAGAGGCAATATTCAAAAATAGAATGGCTGAAAACTTTCTAGAATTGATTTTTTAAAACTTAGATTTATAAATACTTAGATTCATGTAGCACCATGAGTTTAAATGGGGTAAGTAAAAATTAACTTATATGTAGATGCATTGTAGTGAAACTGGAGAATGCCAAAGAAAAAAGAGAGATGTCTTAGTATTAGCAATGAAGAAATGATGATGACATCCAAAGAGATATCCATTATGTTGACAGTAAAGTTTTTAACAATAGCAAGAGAGATCAGAAAACAGTGGAAAGATAACCTTCACAGAGCTAAATGAAAATAACTCTCAACTTAAAATTTTATACCCAGCTTAATTCTCATTCAGGAGTAAGATAAAATGAAAGTATTTTTTCATATAAAGTTTAATAGAATTAACTATTAGAAGCTTCCAGCAAGTCACAGAAGCTTGTTGGAAGAATGTGAAGCAGGATGTACTTGAGATTGAAGAATATTGAACCCAGAAGGAGTGGATTGGGTACTAGAAACAATGGTGAGCAATGAAATTGGTGAAAATGTAGATAAAATTTGGAATTTTAACTTCTAATAGTTGTAGATTAGGTAATTTAAATTGTGCCTGCCACTGAAGACTACCCGAAAGGCTCAACGAAAAGTTTTATTTATTTATTTTTTTGCTTGGAGGCATCAAGAGCTTACAAGATCTATGGGGAGAATGGGGGCCCAGGGGGAAAAGGTCCCAGTGTATGGGGTCACTGTTCCTCTGGAGAAATTAGCCATTTCTGGAGAGAGCTGCTAAACAGCTCTGTAACCCTTCTGACTTGCTAGTGAGTGAATGTAAGGGGGAAAGAGATTAGAGCCCATGGCCCACAAAGAGGGGACTCCTGATGAACCTGCTCACTTTTGAGTTGGGACCATGAAAGGCTAGTAGCAGATGTTAACCAGAAGTAGACATGTTCTTATAGAGGCTACAGATAAGCTTTGAATTGTGTCATTCTCTAAAACTAGGCTGAGGGTTCCTGAACCACTAGTGACCCCGGCATTTGGCAGAATTGTACATCCCTCCTGGGGGAATATAGTGTCATGCAAGGTCATAAACTGCTTCTGTAGTTTGCAAATGCAGTGCCTGGCTTATAATCAAAAGGAGTCAGATACACAAAGACATAAACACAAAGAAAAACAAAAGATGATAGAAATTGGGCCTCCAGATATTGGAATTCTCAGATATAGTATTTTAAAATAAGTATGCTTATCATGTTCAGAGGGAAAAAAGATTGAAAATTTTGGCAGAGCATTGGAAAATGTTAAAAAAAAATCAAGTGGAAATTCTGGGAATGAGAAAGGCAGTAAATTAACTCACATTGAAGCAACAGATTAGACACATCCAAAGAGAGAATTAGTGAACTGAAAGATGTTAAACAAAAATAACCAGAAACAAAGGATGAAAGGCAATAGAGATAAAACCATGAGAAGGTCTAGTGCACATATTTAAATTTCCAAAAAGTCAGGAGAAAGAGAATAGGGCAAAAGCAGTATTTGAAGAAAAAGAGGTTTAGAATTTTCTAAAACTGATGAAGAACATCAGTCCATGGATTCCAGAAGTAATATGAACCTCAAGCAAGAGAAATACCAAAGAATTCTGCATGTATAGATGATCATTATTAAACAGCTGAAAAAAAAAGAGAGAAATCTTAAAAGCAGCTAGAGGAAAAAAGTGAATTTTCAATACGCACAAATAGTTGGCAGTTTGTCGTCTCAGTGACTTAGCTGGTAAAGAACCTGCCTGCAGTGCAGGAGACCTGGGTTCCATTCCTGGGTTGGGACAATCCCCTGGAGAATGGCTATCACTGCAGTCTTCTGGCCTGGAGAATTCCATGGACTGTATAGTCCACGGGATTGCAAAGAGTCGGACATGACTGAGTGACTTTCACTTTCACACTTTGTCTTCTCAACAGAAACGATGAAAATCAGAATTCAGTTAAATGCCTTTTTTTAAGAGAGTAACTTGTCAACCTAGAATTCAGAGTCATATAAATATACAATAAATTACTGTATTATAATAAAAGTAAACAGACTATGGCAACCTATGGACTATATAGTCCATGGAATTCTCCAGGCCAGAATACTGGAGTGGGTATAGCCATTCCCTTTTCCATGTATCTTCTCAATCCAGAGATCAATCCCAGGTCTCCCGCATTGCAGATTCTTTACCAGCTGAGCCAACCAGGGAGACCCAAGAATGCTGGAGTGGGTAGCCTGTCCCTTCTCCAGTGGATCTTCCCAACCCAGGAATCGAACCAGGGTCTCCTGCTTTGCAGGCAGATTCTTTACCAACTGAGCTACCAGGGAAGCCTGGCTGTACACGTAGCTATTCATATTTGTAGATCTCACTAATGAATGTTGAGCAAAAGAAACCAGACAAGAAAGGATCGTCTGTGCTGTATGATTTCATTTATATAAAGCTACACTAAAGTACAGTGTTTAGTTATACATGTTCCTTAGTTGGTAAAACTATAAAGGAAAGAAATAGTTAGCATAAAAATCAGATTGTGGTGCCTTTGAGGCATGATGGGTGAGGGGTGTTGGGGAATGGTGGTAAGGAGACTCTGCCAGGACGCTGGCGCTGTTCTAGTTCCTGTTAAGTTTAATGGCTGCTCATTTTGTGACAGTTCCTTCAGACATACATACACGTTTGGGAAACTTCACTCTGGGTATGCCT